AAACACTCCGTGACATTGCTCAACGTATTAAACACTCCGTGACATTGCTCAACGTATTAAACACTCCGTGACATTGCTCAACGTATTAAATACTCCATGACATTGCTCAACGTATTAAACACTCCGTGACATTGCTCAACGTATGAAACACTCCGTGACGCTGCTCAACGTATGAAATACTCCGTGACATTGCTCAACGTATTAAACACTCCGTGACATTGCTCAACGTATGAAACACTCCGTGACATTGCTCAACGTATTAAATACTCCATGACATTGCTCAACGTATTAAACACTCCGTGACATTGCTCAACATATGAAATACTCCGTGACAATTGCTCAACGTATGAAATACTCCGTGACATTGCTCAACGTATTAAACACTCCGTGACGTTGCTCAACATATGAAACACTCCGTGACATTGCTCAACATATGAAATACTCCATGACATTGCTCAACGTATGGAACACTCCGTGACATTGCTCAACATATGGAACACTCTGTGACATTGCTCAACATATGAAATACTCCGTGACATTGCTCAACATATGAAATACTCCATGACATTGCTCAACGTATTAAACACTCCGTGACGTTGCTCAATGTATGAAACACTCCGTGACATTGCTCAACGTATTAAATACTCCTTGACGTTGCTCAACATATGAAATACTCCATGACATTGCTCAACGTATTAAACACACCGTGACTTTGCTCAATGTATGAAACACTCTGTGACATTTCTCAACGTATTAAACACTCCGTGACATTGCTCAACGTATGAAACACTCCGTGACATTGCTCTACGTATGAAACACTCTGTGACATTGCTCAACGTATTAAACACTCCGTGACGTTGCTCAACGTATGAAACACTCCGTGACATTGCTCAAGGTATTAAACACTCCGTGACATTGCTCAACGTATTAAACACTCCGTGACATTGCTCAACGTATGAAACACTCTGTGACATTGCTCAATGTATGAAATACTCCATGACATTGCTCAACGTATGAAACACTCTGTGACATTGCTCAACGTATGAAATACTTCTTGACGTTGCTCAACATATGAAATACTCCCTGACATTGCTAAACGTATTAAATACTCCGTGACATTGCTCAACGTATGAAACACTCTGTGCCATTGCTCAACGTATGAAATACTCCTTGACGTTGCTCAACGTATGAAATACTCCGTGACGTTGTTCAACGTATGAAATACTCCGTGACATTGCTCAACGTATGAAATACTCCGTGACATTGCTCAACGTATGAAATACTCCGTGACGTTGCTCAACGTATGAAATACTCCTTGACGTTGCTCAACGTATGAAATACTCCGTGACGTTGCTCAACGTATGAAATACTCCATGACATTGCTCAACGTATGAAACACTCTGTGACATTGCTCAACGTATGAAATACTTCTTGACGTTGCTCAACATATGAAATACTCCCTGACATTGCTAAACGTATTAAATACTCCGTGACATTGCTCAACGTATGAAACACTCTGTGCCATTGCTCAACGTATGAAATACTCCTTGACGTTGCTCAACGTATGAAATACTCCGTGACGTTGCTCAACGTATGAAATACTCCGTGACATTGCTCAACGTATGAAATACTCCGTGACGTTGCTCAACGTATGAAATACTCCGTGACATTGCTCAACGTATGAAATACTCTGTGACATTGCTCAACGTATGAAATACTCTGTGACATTGATTAACGTATGAAATACTCCGTGACGTTGCTCTGCTCAACGTATGAATTACTCCGTGACATTGCTTAACGTATTAAACACTCCGTGACATTGCTCAACGTATGAAACACTCCGTGACATTGCTCAACGTATGAAATACTCCATGACATTGCTCAACGTATGAAATACTCTGTGACATTGCTCAACGTATGAAATACTCTGTGACATTGATTAACGTATGAAATACTCCGTGACGTTGCTCTGCTCAACGTATGAATTACTCCGTGACATTGCTTAACGTATTAAACACTCCGTGACATTGCTCAACATATTAAATACTCCATGACATTGCTCAACGTATTAAATACTCCATGACATTGCTCAACGTATGAAACACTCCGTGACGCTGCTCAACATATTAAATACTCCATGACATTGCTCAACGTATTAAATACTCCATGACATTGCTCAACGTATGAAACACTCCGTGACATTGCTCAACATATTAAATACTCCATGACATTGCTCAACGTATTAAATACTCCATGACATTGCTCAACGTATGAAACACTCCGTGACGTTGCTCAACGTATGAAACACTCCTTGACGTTGCTCAACATATGCAAACTTTAGACCACGTTTTACATCTAGAACATGACGTTAAAACAGCACTCGCCCAAAAACAATATACTGTGGCCATTTTCATCGACTTTAGTAAAGCATTTGATATGGTTTGACATCATGGCCTAATCCAAAAACTTAAAGCAAAAGCCATAGATGGTAGAATTCTAAATTTCATACACTCTTTTCTAACAGACAGAAACATCACAGTTAAAACCAACAACACCCTATCTGACCCACATCCTTTAGACAACGGCACCCCACAGGGTAGTATAATCTCTCTAACACTTTTCAATTTTATGATTGACGACATTTTCCCATCTAAAATTAAAAAAACAACTACTGCAAAATTCGCAGATGACATTTCCTTCTGGACGTCGTCAACATCTCTAAAACAGATCCAAAAAAGAATTCAACCCCTCCTGAAACACATAGAACTTTGGGCAACCCAGTGGGGATTCCAAATCAACACTAATAAAACCATTGGCTTACTCTTCAAAAATAGACATATGCCAAATTGTACACCCAAACTCACCCTTAATGATCAGTCCATTTCATTCAAAAAGGAAGCTAAATTTCTGGGAATTACTTTTGACCAGCATCTAACATGGGCTCCCCATATTCATAATTTGGTCACATCATGTCAAAAATACTTAAATCTAATGAGAGCCATCAGCGGCACTGATTGGGGCGCTGACAAACAAACATTACTGAATATATACAAGTCACTAATTCAATCTAAGATTGACTATGCTGCTCCAGTCCTCAACTCCATATCAGAAACACTCAATAACAAACTAAACTCCATACAATATAGAGCCCTAAAGATAGCCCTGGGTCCCAGAACCGGTACAGCCCTAAATACCCTCCAGCTATTATCAGGAACCACCTCCATCCAACTCCGCCGCAATCAAACCACTCTCAATTACTGGGCTGGGGCCCAACAAAACCCTATCCTAAAACAAATCATCACTAAATACAACACCCTTAGACCTGCAACCTTAAAGAAATTCAAAAACAATCACACACTAGCCCCCTATCTCACACATCTCTATAAACTCTTAAAAACATATAAGCTAGAAAACATCAAACACATAGACCCCCAAAACATATTCATAAATGACAACCCCCCCCCCCCCCCTGAAACAGACCTCTCACTCCACAAAACATTCATCTCACATCCTGACCCCAAAAACCTTGACAAAAAAGAAATATCTAATAACTACATTAACCAAAACTGGCCCAACCACACCCATATCTATACCGACGCATCACAGACTAATAATGACATAACAGGACTAGGCATACAGATCACACAACCTATACCAATCACCACAAACTTCCACTATACCAACTACACACATATCACCACAGCTGAACTACTGGCTATACAATGTGCATATCACTACATAAAAATATCTACTGACACTAACTTCCTATAATTTCAGACTCATTAGGTGCATTAACCCAAATTCATAATAAACAATCTAAATCAAGGCAAGACATAATAAACAATATCATAGACATCCACACAAAACTCATAGAATCCAACAAAACAATAACTCTCCTATGGGCACCTGCACACACTGGCATAACAGGCAACCAATTAGCAGACACAACAGTAAAACTAGCCACCTCCCAACCATCACCAAGTATTGACTTCACCACCAGTAAAGCCGAGATAAAATCACTAATCAAAAGAAACACATTATCTCAAAATTTCAAAACAAATATTCAAAATTGTAAGTCAATCTTGACAAAATCCCTTTTCAATAAGCCAGTCACAAAGTTCATTTTAGCAGATAAAATCATTAATAGAATGTTAAGCGGCCAAACTAATTTAAACGAAACACTCCACAAACAAAACAGACACCCACATCCAAACTGCATACACTGCAACACACCTGAAACACTAGACCATATATTCAACCACTGCTCAAAAACAACATCCAACTGCTCCTAGACCCCTTCAACCATTCGGCTAAATTTACCCATATAGCCACATTCCTTAAAACAACAAATCTAATAATCAAACTTTAGAAAAATCCCTAAAATCCACACAATCACAATTTAGGATCGGGATCCAAATTCTCAGCGCGGACTGACTTCTCCGACGTCCGCGCGACAAATTCGCCCATATCCATACTCTAATAAACATGACCGTTTAACCATTTTATAATACATATTAGTACATAGCATATCAGCTTAACTGATTATATATCATACTAAGTCTCTACACTAGTTACTTCCCTTAGACTAGGTTTCTTACAGCTCTACACTACTACTGCTAAACTTCTTTCCCCTTCACACCCCTTTACTATATTTCTTTCTTCTTTAATCCCCCTAATTTACATTTTTTTGGGCCAGCCGATTACTTATGTATTACCCACTATTGTTTATTATTGTTTAACCCGTCTGGCCCCGACTGCGAAATAGCCAACGGCTGAAGCGGTCGTAAAATCTATAATACTACTCAACATATGAAATACTCCGTGACGTTGGTCAACGGATGAAACACTCCGTGACGTTGCTCATTCATATGCTCTTACCACAAGCACGATCTCGAGATACAAGGGGCCTTCTTTGCCCAGGAATACCCATTGATGTGAACTGTACAAGACCTTTCAGTACTGACAAACAATGTAACGGTTATAATTTTCCTCTTTTTTAGGGCATAATTGAAGGTGGCCACAATGGCCATGCTTGCCTCAACAGACAAAGCATCCAATGTGTTTTACTGTACCAACTGTAAGGAGAAGACACCAGAACCCGTTACTCTAGCCTGTTACCACACAGTTTGCCGAAAGTGTCTTGAAGTCCATCAAACATTCAGCGTGGATAAACACATCTACTGTCCTGTGTGTGAAACAAACACACAATGCTCTGACGAAACGGACAGTCTGCGATCACTGTTAAATACATGTATTGGTAGTGCCTCTTGTACGTTAGAAGACCTGTTATTCAAACCCGAGCCTGAATATTGCAGCGTTTGTTGCCTACACAACCAGCGCAATGACGTGACCCACCAGTGTGTTGACTGTGGCGATGTTCTGTGTGGTGTGTGTCAGGCAGGGCACCAAGCATCAAGCGCCACGTACTCACACAGGGTCGTGGCCATTGGAGATGTGAAAACTGGGAAATATGTTGTCGAGGCAAAGAAAAGAAGCTTTCCTTGTGGTGATGCCAATCATAGGGGAAGGGCTTGTGCATACTTCTGTCAGTCCTGTGTCATTCCAATTTGTGAATTGTGTTTGTTATTTCAACATAAAGGTCATGAGATTCTTACCTTGGATGAGGCTGCCAAGAACTGTGCAACGAAATTGGAAGAGCGATCACAACAGCTTAGTACATATGTGACTGAATCTGCAACTCCTAAGTTGGAAAGGTACCGAAACCTGGAGCGAGATATTTCTTCAATACAAGAGGCTGCACTTAAAAGTATCAGGAACAAGACACAGACAGCTGTGGATTTAGTTCTAAAACAGGAGCAGGAAGCTGTAAAAAAACTTTCAAAATTATGTGACCGGCAGCTTAAACTCACAAGTACCTTAAACACTGATTTAGAGCAGATGTCAAATCTGTGCCCCAAACTGTTGTCTCTTACAAACTTAGTTTTAAGATCGGGGCAGGATGTGGCAGTTCTCATTCTTCACAATGACCTTGAGAGTTGTTTTAAAGAAAGTAAGCAATTACAAGATGCCACTGATGTCTTTGCTTCCAAACTGAAAGTGCCTGTGTTTGATGTGAGATGTGATGTCCCTCCGAAATCTGTCATCAGCATCACACATTCGTTTCAAAATGCCGTCGTAGGTGATGAAAATATCAAGAAGGATGAGACTATACCATGTGGCGAGTCCTGCAGTTCTGTATCAAGCACTTATCCAGGGAGTACTGCCAAGTCTGGGGATGGTTTAACCAGGAAACAAGCTGAGGGGATGAAAGACGTTTCTTCTTCAACTTCACTTAGACCTAAAACCCCCATTGCCAAATCTAATCATCACTTGTCTGACACCGTGAGCAAATGTCTGGCTGGTGAAACGGTAAGTGGGATCCCGTTTGCAATTGTTGCTCCAAGAGTGAAGTTTGAACCTTCCAAAACTGGATTTATCATCACTGATGTTTTGTGTAGCAATGAGAACCTTGTCGCCGAGGGTTCTGCAGAAGATGGTACATCATCAGTCTATATGAGAAATGACAGCGACACCTGTCAGCAGGAAGACTACAGTGGGTTCAAGTTGACCGAGTCTTTGATGATAGTAGGTGAGGCTGGGAAAGCCCTTTCATCAAGGTGTTGTTCTTCTGGACATCCATCTGAGGGTCCACTCAATAGCATGAGCTTGAAGCTTGAGGATTCAACAAATGTGGAAGTCTTTGTACAGAATGCCATCAGGCAAGAAGGTACCCCGGATTCCCTGATGACCGAACCTATGGATAGAGGTGTGCCAGATTCACCGATGATCTCTAGAAAAATGAATGGAGATAGCTCAGATTCACTTATTACATCTGGACCTATGACAGAAGACAGCTCTAGGTATGGACCTGTTGGGTTAGACAGCTCTAGGTATGGACCTGTTGGGTTAGACAGCTCTGCATCTGTACAAACGTTTGATGACAAACAGAAAGCCCATCGAAATGTAGTCACTAATGCATCTGGACCAGGGAACAGTGATACTACAGGCATGACCCCAGCTGAACCAGGAAACATCGAGACTCAAGATAAGATGTCAGCTAGACCAGGGAACAGTGGGACTCCAGACACCATGTCAGTTAGACCAGGAAACAGTGGGACTCCAGACAAGATGCCAGTTAGACCAGGGAACAGTGAGACTCCAGACACCATGTCAGTTAGACCAGGACACATCGAGACTCAAGATAAGATGTCAGTTAGACCAGGGAACAGTGGGACTCCACACAAGATGTCAGTTAGACAAGGGAACAGTGAGACTCCAGACACCATGTCAGTTAGACCAGGAAACAGTGGGACTCCAGACAAGATGCCAGTTAGACCAGGGAACAGTGAGACTCCAGACACCATGTCAGTTAGACCAGGACACATCGAGACTCAAGATAAGATGTCAGTTAGACCAGGGAACAGTGGGACTCCACACAAGATGTCAGTTAGACAAGGGAACAGTGAGACTCCAGACACCATGTCAGTTAGACCAGGGAACAGTGAGACTCCAGACACCATGTCAGTTAGACCAGGGAACATCGAGACTCAAGATAAGATGTCAGTTAGACCAGGAAACAGTGGGACTCCAGACAAGATGTCAGTTAGACCAGGGAACAGTGGGACTCCAGACAAGATGTCAGTTAGACCAGGGAACAGTGGGACTCCAGACACCATGTCAGTTAGACCAGAAAAAATCGAGACTCAAGATAAGATGTCAGTTAGACCAGGGAACAGTGGGACTCCAGACAAGATGTCAGTTAGGCCAGGGAACAGTGGGACTCCAGACACCATGTCAGTTAGACCTGGAAACAGGGGGACTCCAGACAAGATGCCAGTTAGACCAGGGAACAGTGGGACTGCAGACAAGATGTCAGTTAGACCAGGGAACAGTGGGACTCCAGACAAGATGTCAGTTAGACCAGGGAACAGTGAGACTCCAGACACCATGTCAGTTAGACCAGGAAACAGGGGGAATCCAGACAAGATGCCAGTTAGACCAGGGAACAGTGAGACTCCAAACACCATGTCAGTTAGACCAGGACACATCGAGACTCAAGATAAGATGTCAGTTAGACCAGGGAACAGTAGGGCTCCAGACAAGATGTCAGTTAGACCAGGGAACAGTGGGACTCCAGACAAGATGTCAGTTAGACCAGGGAACAGTGGGACTCCAGACACCATGTCAGTTAGACCAGAAAAAATCGAGACTCAAGATAAGATGTCAGTTAGACCAGGGAACAGTGGGACTCCAGACAAGATGTCAGTTAGACCAGGGAACAGTGGGACTCCAGACACCATGTCAGTTAGACCTGGAAACAGGGGGACTCCAGACAAGATGTCAGTTAGACCAGGGAACATCGAGACTCAAGATAAGATGTCAGTTAGACCAGGGAACAGTGGGACTCCACACAAGATGTCAGTTAGACCAGGGAACAGTGGGACTCCAGACACCATGTCAGTTCGACCAGGAAACAGTGGGACTCCAGACAAGATGTCAGTTAGGCCAGGGAACAGTGGGACTCCAGACACCATGTCAGTTAGACCAGGGAACATCGAGACTCAAGATAAGATGTCAGTTAGACCAGGGAACAGTAGGGCTCCAGACAAGATGTCAGTTAGACCAGGGAACAGTGGGACTCCAGACACCATGTCAGTTAGACCAGGGAACAGTGGGACTCCAGACAAGATGTCAGTTAGACCAGGGAACAGTGGGACTCCAGACACCATGTCAGTTAGACCAGGGAACATCGAGACTCAAGATAAGATGTCAGTTAGACCAGGAAACAGTGGGACTCCAGACAAGATGTCAGTTAGACCAGGGAACAGTGGGACTCCAGACAAGATGTCAGTTAGACCAGGGAACAGTGGGACTCCAGACACCATGTCAGTTAGACCAGAAAAAATCGAGACTCAAGATAAGATGTCAGTTAGACCAGGGAACAGTGGGACTACAGACAAGATGTCAGTTAGACCAGGGAACAGTGGGACTCCAGACACCATGTCAGTTAGACCAGGGAACAGAAGGACTCCAGACACCATGTCAGTTAGACCAGGAAACATCGAGACTCAAGATAAGATGTCAGTTAGACCAGGGAACAGTAGGACTCCAGACAAGATGTCAGTTAGACCAGGGAACAGTGGGACTCCAGACACCATGTCAGTTAGACCAGGGAACAGTGGGACTCCAGATAAGATGTCAGTTAGACCAGGGAACATCGAGACTCAAGACAAGATGTCAGCTGGACCAGGTTACAGCCAGACTCCATACATGATCCTAGCTGGACCAGGAAACAGCCAGACTCAAGACACGATGTCAGCTGGACAAGGAAACAACCACACTAGATACATGATCCCAGCTGGACCAGGAAACAGCCAGACTCCATACATGATTTCGGCAGGACCAGGGAACAGGCAGACTCAAGACACGACACGAGAAGAAAACCCACGCCTCTGCCGTATCTGTTGAGGACGGAGGGGATTTGAGATCAGTTAGCCTGGAGAAGATGAATATTTGTATATAAACAGTTGCCAAAGACACCCAAGATCCAGAAATAAAGTCATTGGGAATCTTGAATGACAAACTTGTTATTGCAGATAATGCCAATAAGAAAATAAGGGTGGTGACTACATGTGGAACTTTAACTGATATGAACCACAAAAATACACCACTAACTGATGATCTGCCCGCTCACACAATTGCCTGTTTGGATGACTGTGTTGTGTACATGGGTGGATCAACGATCTATATCACTGATAGGATTCTTAAGTGTCTACGATCAGTGATGCTCAGAACAACAGGCAGCAAACATGTAGTTCTTTGCAGGCATGCCTCCACACAGTTCTTGGAAATCTTCCAGGCAACTTGCTGTTGCTTTACAACACAGATGGCCAAATGATCACAACCCAACAAGCTCCTGTCGATGACCCTGCTATATCTCTCAGTACTGAGGACGACCGTCTGGTCAGCTCTTTGAACCAACCAGGTGCCGTCTTCAAGATAAAAAAAAATGGAACCCTTGCCCGAACCTTCAGACCTATTGTTGCTTCAGGTGCGACGTAATTGGGTCGTAGGGTCAGGCTCTGTTTGGGTCGGTGACTGGGTTGATTGCGTGTCATCCTACTCCGATGTCGTGGGACGTGGGTCATAATATCAACCACTGGTTTGTCTGTCTCAGATCCGCTTATTCACAGACCGCCGTGATATTGTTGAAAATTGCCGAGAACGAGAGGCGAGAGCAGCAAACAAACTAACCACATGAACAGCGTAAGAAGCAACACACCAGCTCCAAGTTGGAAGTAAATGTTTGCGAGGCGTACATGCCTTATACATGACCACATTTCGAACAATAAACATATTTTACTTTGATTTTTCGTTTACTAAATAAAACAATCTGCTCGACAAACAATGCTTTCTATTTTACGTGAATAGGCATGATTTGCTCCGTCATCTGAGGCGGAAAATCGCTGTGCACAGTTGCATCCCTTACACATGCCAGGATCCTATGATTGTGGGTTCGAGTCCCAGACCTGCATCAGTTGGTAACAGGAGGAAGAAAAACTTAAAACTTAAATCAACAATAGCCTAAAATAAATATTAATAATTGATATTGCCATCTTCCAAAGAAAAAACATTCAAACGCTCCAGTAACGCATATTTCGTTTTATTATTTAGCAGTTCACCTTTTAGTATTTTTGTCCTTATTTGGGGTTGTCATTCAGTGATGTGTTCTTTTAATTGTCTCAGTTAAGTTATTTTACCGTTTACACCCAAAGGATCTGTTTCGGCGGATAACCGAGACTGAATATTCTGTGACGGTGACGTTTTATATTAAAAATCTACACTCTGCATCGTGTTTCGACCTGTTCAAGTTGCTGTTCAAGGAAAGTGTGTCTTTCCTAGAATTATTGAATTCGCGGGCATATAAGAATTTAAGGAGGATTTGCATTCATGTTATTGTTGTTCTGCACAGCACTACCATCATAGTTGTCACACACGTAGCTTCTACACTGTCATTTGGAAACAAAAGAAACAGATTCATCCGCAGACGAGCGTTATATCGAGGTAAGAACGTGGCGCACATCGGGTCACAATGACATAACGTTGTTATAGTGAGCTACTGTAGGTATGGTTGGTCGATGTGCAGCTGCTATCAATACACAGGTTAGGTGGGATGTATGACGTTTACACAATGTTGGTGGGCGAATTTTAATAACCTGTATCCTTCGCTATTTTATAGACATTTTAATTGTTGCACGGAGAAAAAGTGAGATCAGTTGGTAAAAGACCAATATCATTAAAATCAGATCTTACTTCTCGCTACCACTAAACCTAGGATATCGCTGAACGGCAGATCTAAATTAAATCCGCCATTTTGAACGGATTACAAACAGAGATGGCAAAATGTGCATGCCATCCATGTTGGATATATGAGCACAATTAGACCCACAAGTATGTAATGTTTACTATTTCTTACACAAGACTTTAAATATATACTTTACTGCATGCTGTAACGATATCTATCAATTCTGTGTAATTTAAAAGTCAGAATGATATTGCTCATTATAATACATATGTTCTAAATAAAAGCGATCTTCATTGAAAACTGAAAGACAAGTTTAGTAAGAAAACTCAATTCGTCCCCAGGAGGTAGCTAGGGGGACTGAAAGAAGTATACCCTTGAAAGGTATTGAACGAATTACATCATTTGTCACGAATAATTTACAAATGACGTTATCTTCTCATTTTAGAGTGATATGGAACAATTAAAGCCGGGTTTCAAATGCTACCAGAGTCATGTTCACCTTAACCATTGTATAGAGGCCCACAGTAGTGAAGCTCAGTGACAGTGGATTTACTCAAATGACCCCAACACACTACTGTGTTTGATAATATTCCATATTGATATATTGATATATAATCGACCCGCCATCGGGTATGATATCACCTTAAGTACCCCTCTCTTTAAACTTTGTTTTTTTTATGTACCAGATTTCTTGATCCAAACGTTTCGGGTGGGAAGTTTTTGTTTTTTTTAAATCGCAGTCGGTTGAAAGAAATGATACAGTGTTTTTGTATATGATGACAAACAAAGTCTTAGAAACTGACAAAACCTGTCAGCAGTGGTATAGAGCGTTATTGTTGCAGGCAAAATGTCATGAAATAAATTAATCAATATGATGTTTATCGATGTGATTAGTGTCGCATATATCAGATATGGTAATTGATCTGTGAAGCACATGTTTACTCGATTTCTTTTTATCGTGGAAATTTGTCCGCTAAATGTTGCTTCAAATTTCATTTTCAAGAGTCCGCGGTCTTTTGTCCTTTGTAAAACATTCTGTTTGAAACAACAGAGGATGGTGGTACTTTTGTTCCAGACACATTTGATTGTTATCCATAATATATGGCCACAGCACAATTTTGGACTTATCTTTTTGTTAGCTCACCAGCACCGCCCATTCATCCATTAACTGTAAATTTCTTCTCCGAACTGGCTGAAGGGACGACCTTTCAATTTTTGGAAGACTCTTGTGCTCATATTTCATCATGGCGTTGAAGCATTTATTTTGAAGAAAAATGAACACAAAATAGAAGTATAAAAACATATAAAGACTCTTCACCTCAGATCTCGCACGTTGATGATGCTGCTAACTAAGAAAATCTTTCAGCTCAGACATTGCTATTACAAATGAGATGATTCTTTACGAGAATGCTACCATATTAATGTTCTTTACAGTTAAAAGGTGAGGTGAAATGGGCTTAAACACTTTAAAGCTAAAAGGATTCCTTTTACTTAAAAAGAAGAAATCACACAGCCATTTAACACCCACACTTCCCTAACTTCGCATAAGATTGCCTTACCTAGAACATCCATACTTTGAGAGCTACAGAGTCTTGGTGCTGTTTTCCGTTTAAAAAAAGACGATATTTCAGAGTCAAACAAGTATCCGATCTTGGCAATGTAAGTACACCCGCGCTCCATTTTGAGGCAAGTGAGGTAATAAATGTATTGAACAACAGTCAGCAATAGTCCAGCCTTTTCATGGCTTCCTGTAAAGAAATGAATGGGCACGTTTCAGGCAAACCCGTGGTTGAAAGGACGCCAATGACAATCAAGTCTCAGTTTTAACCACCATTCATTAGATCATCCCACAAGCAGGAGGTACAAGGGGCCTACTCTGCCCCGGAATACCCATTGATTCGAAATGTACAAGACCTTTCAGTGCTGACAAACAATATAACAGTTCAAATTCTCCTCTTTTTTAGGGCATAATTGAAGGTGGCCACAATGGCGATGCTTGCCTCAACAGACAAAGCATCCAATGTGTTTTACTGTACCAACTGCAAGGAGAAGACACCAGAACCCGTTCCTCTAGCCTGTTACCACACAGTTTGCCGTAAGTGTCTTGAAGTCCATCAAACATTCAGCGTGGATAAACACATCTACTGTCCTGTGTGTGAAAAAAACACACAATGCTCTGACGAAATGGACAGTCTGCGATCACTGTTAAATACATGTATTGGTAGTGCCTCTCGTACGTTAGAAGACCCGTTACTTAAACCCGAGCCTGAATATTGCGGTGTCTGCTGCCTACACAACCAGCGCAATGACGTGACCCACCAGTGTGTTGACTGTGGCGATGTTCTGTGTGGTGTGTCAGGCAGGGCATCAAGCATCAAGCGCCACGTACTCACACAAGGTCGTGGCCATTGGAGATGTGAAAACTGGGACATATGTTGTCGAGGCAAAGAAAAGAAGCTTTCCTTGTGGTGATGCCAATCATAGGGGAAGGGCTCATGCATACTTCTGTCAGTCCTGTGTCATTCCAATTTGTGAATTGTGTTTGTTATTTCAACATAAAGGTCATGTGATTCTTACCTTGGATGAGGCTGCGCAGAACTGTGCAACGAAATTGGAAGAGCGATCACAACAGCTTAGCACATATGTGACTGAATCTGCTACTCCTAAATTGAAAATGTTCAGGAACCTGGAGCGAGATATTTCTTCAATACAAGAGACTGCACTTAAAAGTATCAGGAACAAGACACAGACAGCTGTGGATTTAGTTCTAAAACAGGAGCAGGAAGCTGTAAAAAAGCTTTCAAAATTATGTGACCGGCAGCTTAAACTCACAAGTACCTTAAATACTGATTTAGAGCAGATGTCAAATCTGTGCCCCAAACTGTTGTCTCTTACAAACTTAGTTTTAAGATTGGGGCAGGATGTGGCAGTTCTCATTCTTCACAATGACCTTGAGAGTTGTTTTAAAGAAAGTAAGCAATTACAAGATGCTACCGATGTCTTTGCTTCCAAACTGAAAGTGCCTGTGTTTGATGTTAGATGTGATGTCCCTCCGAAATCTGTCATCAGCATCACACATTCGTTTCAAAATGCCGTCGTAGGTGATGAAAATATCAAGAAGGATGAGACTATACCATGTGGCGAGTCTCGCAGTTCTGTATCAAGCACTTATCCAGGGAGTACTGCCAAGTCTGGGGATGGTTTAACCAGGAAACAAGCTGAGGGGATGAAAGACGTTTCTTTTTCAACTTCACTTAGACCTAAAACTCTCATTGCCAAATCTAATCCTCACTTGTCTGACACCGTGAGCAAATGTCTGGCTGGTGAAACGGTAAGTGGGATCCCGTTTGCAATTGTTGCTCCAAGAGTGAAGTTTGAACCTTCCAAAACTGGATTTATCATCACTGATGTTTTGTGTAGCAATGAGAACCTTGTCGCCGAGGGTTCTGCAGAAGATGGTACATCATCAGTCTATATGAGAAATGACAGCGACACCTGTCAGCAGGAAGACTACAGTGGGTTCAAGTTGACCGAGTCTTTGATGATAGTAGGTGAGGCTGGGAAAGCCCTTTCATCAAGGTGTTGTTCTTCTGGACATCCATCTGAGGGTCCACTCAATAGCATGAGCTTGAAGCTTGAGGATTCAACAAATGTGGAAGTCTTTGCACAGAATGCCATCAGGCAAGAAGGTAGTCCCGGATTCCCTGATGACCGAACCTATGGACAGAGGTGTGCCAGATTCACCGATGATCTCTAGAAAAATGAATGGAGATAGCTCAGATTCACTTATTACATCTGGACCTATGACAGAAGACAGCTCTAGGTATGGACCTGTTGGGTTAGACAGCTCTAGGTATGGACCTGTTGGGTTAGACAGCTCTGCATCTGTACAAACGTTTGATGACAAACAGAAAGCCCATCGAAATGTAGTCACTAATGCATCTGGACCAGGGAACAGTGATACTACAGGCATGACCCCAGCTGAACCAGGAAACATCGAGACTCAAGATAAGATGTCAGCTAGACCAGGGAACAGTGGGACTCCAGACACCATGTCAGTTAGACCAGGAAACAGTGGGACTCCAGACAAGATGCCAGTTAGACCAGGGAACAGTGAGACTCCAGACACCATGTCAGTTAGACCAGGACACATCGAGACTCAAGATAAGATGTCAGTTAGACCAGGGAACAGTGGGACTCCACACAAGATGTCAGTTAGACAAGGGAACAGTGAGACTCCAGACACCATGTCAGTTAGACCAGGAAACAGTGGGACTCCAGACAAGATGCCAGTTAGACCAGGGAACAGTGAGACTCCAGACACCATGTCAGTTAGACCAGGACACATCGAGACTCAAGATAAGATGTCAGTTAGACCAGGGAACAGTGGGACTCCACACAAGATGTCAGTTAGACAAGGGAACAGTGAGACTCCAGACACCATGTCAGTTAGACCAGGAAACAGTGGGACTCCAGACAAGATGCCAGTTAGACCAGGGAACAGTGAGACTCCAGACACCATGTCAGTTAGACCAGGAAACATCGAGACTCAAGATAAGATGTCAGTTAGACCAGGAAACAGTGGGACTCCAGACAAGATGTCAGTTAGACCAGGGAACAGTGGGACTCCAGACAAGATGTCAGTTAGACCAGGGAACAGTGGGACTCCAGACACCATGTCAGTTAGACCAGAAAAAATCGAGACTCAAGATAAGATGTCAGTTAGACCAGGGAACAGTGGGACTCCAGACAAGATGTCAGTTAGGCCAGGGAACAGTGGGACTCCAGACACCATGTCAGTTAGACCTGGAAACAGGGGGACTCCAGACAAGATGCCAGTTAGACCAGGGAACAGTGGGACTGCACACAAGATGTCAGTTAGACCAGGGAACAGTGAGACTCCAGACACCATGTCAGTTAGACCAGGGAACAGTCTGACTCCAGACACCATGTCAGTTAGACAAGGGAACTGTGGGACTCCAGACAAGATGTCACTTAGACCAGGAAACATCGAGACTCAAGATAAGATGTCAGTTAGACCAGGGAACAGTGGGACTCCAGACAAGATGTCAGTTAGACCAGGGAACAGTGGGACTCCAGACACCATGTCAGTTAGACCAGAAAAAATCGAGACTCAAGATAAGATGTCAGTTAGACCAGGGAACAGTGGGACTCCAGACAAGATGTCAGTTAGACCAGGGAACATCGAGACTCAAGATAAGATGTCAGTTAGACCAGGAAACAGGGGGACTCCAGACAAGATGCCAGTTAGACCAGGGAACAGTGAGACTCCAGACAAGATGTCAGTTAGACCAGGGAACAGTGGGACTCCAGACACCATGTCAGTTAGACCAGAAAAAATCGAGACTCAAGATAAGATGTCAGTTAGACCAGGGAACAGTGGGACTCCAGACAAGATGTCAGTTAGACCAGGGAACAGTGGGACTCCAGACACCATGTCAGTTAGACCTGGAAACAGGGGGACTCCAGACAAGATGTCAGTTAGACCAGGGAACAGTGGGACTCCAGACACCATGTCAGTTAGACCAGGGAACATCGAGACTCAAGATAAGATGTCAGTTAGACCAGGGAACAGTGGGACTCCACACAAGATGTCAGTTAGACCAGGGAACAGTGGGACTCCAGACACCATGTCAGTTCGACCAGGAAACAGTGGGACTCCAGACAAGATGTCAGTTAGGCCAGGGAACAGTGGGACTCCAGACACCATGTCAGTTAGACCAGGGAACATCGAGACTCAAGATAAGATTACAGGTTACAGCCAGACTCCATACATGATCCTAGCTGGACCAGGAAACAGCCAGACTCAAGACACGATGTCAGCTGGACAAGGAAACAACCACACTAGATACATGATCCCAGCTGGACCAGGAAACAGCCAGACTCCATACATGATTTCGGCAGGACCAGGGAACAGGCAGACTCAAGACACGACACGAGAAGAAAACCCACTCCGCTGCCGTATCTGTTGAGGACGGAGGGGATTTGAGATCAGTTAGCCTGGAGAAGATGAATATTTGTATATAAACAGTTGCCAAAGACACCCAAGATCCAGAAATAAAGTCATTGGGAATCTTGAATGACAAACTTGTTATTGCAGATAATGCCAATAAGAAAATAAGGGTGGTGACTACATGTGGAACTTTAACTGATATGAACCACAAAAATACACCACTAACTGATGATCTGCCCGCTCACACAATTGCCTGTTTGGATGACTGTGTTGTGTACATGTGTGGATCAACGATCTATATCACTGATAGGATTCTTAAGTGTCTACGATCAGTGATGCTCAGAACAACAGGCAGCAAACATGTAGTTCTTTGCAGGCATGCCTCCACACAGTTCTTGGAAATCTTCCAGGCAACTTGCTGTTGCTTTACAACACAGATGGCCAAATGATCACAACCCAACAAGCTCCTGTCGATGACCCTGCTATATCTCTCAGTACCGAGGACGACCGTCTGGTCAGCTCTTTGAACCAACCAGGTGCCGTCTTCAAGGTAAAAAAGAATGGAACCCTTGCCCGAACCTTCAGACCTATTGTTGCTTCAGGTGCGACGTAATTGGGTCGTAGGGTCAGGCTCTGTTTGGGTCGGTGACTGGGTTGATTGCGTGTCATCCTACTCCGATGTCGTGGGACGTGGGTCATAATACCAACCACTGGTTTGTCTGTCTCAGATCCGCTTATTCACAGACCGCCGTGATATTGTTGAAAATTGCCGAGAACGAGAGGCGAGAGCAGCAAACAAACTAACCACATGAACAGCGTAAGAAGCAACACACCAGCTCCAAGTTGGAAGTAAATGTTTGCGAGGCGTACATGCCTTATACATGACCACATTTCGAACAATAAACATATTTTACTTTGATTTTTCGTTTACTAAATAAAACAATCTGCTCGACAAACAATGCTTTCTATTTTACGTGAATAGGCATGATTTGCTCCGTCATCTGAGGCGGAAAATCGCTGTGCACAGTTGCATCCCTTACACATGCCAGGATCCTATGATTGTGGGTTCGAGTCCCAGACCTGCATCAGTTGGTAACAGGAGGAAGAAAAACTTAAAACTTAAATCAACAATAGCCTAAAATAAATATTAATAATTGATATTGCCATCTTCCAAAGAAAAAACATTCAAACGCTCCAGTAACGCATATTTCGTTTTATTATTTAGCAGTTCACCTTTTAGTATTTTTGTCCTTATTTGGGGTTGTCATTCAGTGATGTGTTCTTTTAATTGTCTCAGTTAAGTTATTTTACCGTTTACACCCAAAGGATCTGTTTCGGCGGATAACCGAGACTGAATATTCTGTGACGGTGACGTTTTATATTAAAAATCTACACTCTGCATCGTGTTTCGACCTGTTCAAGTTGCTGTTCAAGGAAAGTGTGTCTTTCCTAGAATTATTGAATTCGCGGGCATATAAGAATTTAAGGAGGATTTGCATTCATGTTATTGTTGTTCTGCACAGCACTACCATCATAGTTGTCACACACGTAGCTTCTACACTGTCATTTGGAAACAAAAGAAACAGATTCATCCGCAGACGAGCGTTATATCGAGGTAAGAACGTGGCGCACATCGGGTCACAATGACATAACGTTGTTATAGTGAGCTACTGTAGGTATGGTTGGTCGATGTGCAGCTGCTATCAATACACAGGTTAGGTGGGATGTATGACGTTTACACAATGTTGGTGGGCGAATTTTAATAACCTGTATCCTTCGCTAATTTATAGACATTTTAATTGTTGCACGGAGAAAAAGTGAGATCAGTTGGTAAAAGACCAATATCATTAAAATCAGATCTTACTTCTCGCTACCACTAAACCTAGGATATCGCTGAACGGCAGATCTAAATTAAATCCGCCATTTTGAACGGATTACAAACAGAGATGGCAAAATGTGCATGCCATCCATGTTGGATATATGAGCACAATTAGACCCACAAGTATGTAATGTTTACTATTTCTTACACAAGACTTTAAATATATACTTTACTGCATGCTGTAACGATATCTATCAATTCTGTGTAATTTAAAAGTCAGAATGATATTGCTCATTATAATACATATGTTCTAAATAAAAGCGATCTTCATTGAAAACTGAAAGACAAGTTTAGTAAGAAAACTCAATTCGTCCCCAGGAGGTAGCTAGGGGGACTGAAAGAAGTATACCCTTGAAAGGTATTGAACGAATTACATCATTTGTCACGAATAATTTACAAATGACGTTATCTTCTCATTTTAGAGTGATATGGAACAATTAAAGCCGGGTTTCAAATGCTACCAGAGTCATGTTCACCTTAACCATTGTATAGAGGCCCACAGTAGTGAAGCTCAGTGACAGTGGATTTACTCAAATGACCCCAACACACTACTGTGTTTGATAATATTCCATATTGATATATTGATATATAATCGACCCGCCATCGGGTATGATATCACCTTAAGTACCCCTCTCTTTAAACTTTGTTTTTTTTATGTACCAGATTTCTTGATCCAAACGTTTCGGGTGGGAAGTTTTTGTTTTTTTTAAATCGCAGTCGGTTGAAAGAAATGATACAGTGTTTTTGTATATGATGACAAACAAAGTCTTAGAAACTGACAAAACCTGTCAGCAGTGGTATAGAGCGTTATTGTTGCAGGCAAAATGTCATGAAATAAATTAATCAATATGATGTTTATCGATGTGATTAGTGTCGCATATATCAGATATGGTAATTGATCTGT